CGGTTGTGTTCAGAGAGTGAGGTAGACACAGCGAGTCTGTCTTCACTGTACTTCCGCCACAGTCACCGCGTGCTCCACCTCGTTGAAGCTCGCAGTGGATACCGTCGAAATCGACGGTCGAACTTCGATTGTATTTCACCGTTTTCTCTTTCATTTACCAAACAGCGTGGGTGATATCAAACTTGGTTAACGCTTCTTGTCCTCAGCTTCCAACGGGGTGTCTATGACCTACCAGTCTCCATCAGTTTTCTCCGACACCATATTTCCTACCGATTAACTTTCTTTAGCGCGTGGATTACGACGACCGTTGGGGTACATTTTTGAATGCGCCAACCTGAGTACGTCTTTACTTTCACGTTCAGTCGTCCATTCTTTCCACCTCTCCTTACCTAAGGAAGAAGTTCAGCCGTAGGAGCATAATAGTTCTCTATTAGTGAAAGTGAAATAAAAGCAGTTAATTATTGTCCCAGCAAGCGCACTACAAAACAAGATGGCCCTTTACTTAAACGTCAGTTGTTGTCTGTTGACGTTCACTGAATCAGTCATGTCCATAACCATTTCTGAAACGTGGTTTCATACGGCGCACTAATTGACGGATGACTGACCGTAGCAACTCGAACGTTCACAGGGTGAGCGTCCGCTATGTGCCCTAGGAAAGTTTCCCATGCGGCTGGCAGGCTATCTGTATTTACTCCAAACCATAATCTGTATTGAATTTCGTCAATGTGGGCCCACACAGACCGACCTGTCCCAGATTACGCAGTTTGCATTTCAGACGGCTCCAATAACTTGCGAGAGCGTCGGTGTACCTTCCGGTTGTCGGATTCACTAAATTCTTTGAATAGTCAACTATACAGTGTTGGTAACCTGCCAGAGGCAAGTGCGCATACTCCTTCGCTGCATTAGTTACAACAATGCTGCTTTTCGCCACGCATTTACTGATGACAACCGTCAGGGATGGCCAACTTCTATCACGGAGCTGCTTGAATAGGGCTTTCTTCCGGACGGTGTCGTATATGACCATAATCCAATTGGGCCTTTTCCTCCTTCCGACTTCACTCAACGTAAGTATCAGCAGTCCCTTAAGATTCTCCGCTGTAAGACTTCCACGCCAGGACCTCCAATCTGCCTCACTTCATTCTGGAGGGCTTTTGAGCATACACCTCGGTATATGCTGTACCATTCAAGTACTGTTTCCTGGTTCACTCCAATTGCTCTAGAGCATTCTTTTGCCCCCTTTCCATATAAGAAGGCTAGACAGACCTTCATTATTTTTTGTACTGTTAGTTTACTCTTTTCAAATATGGAGCCCGTTCGGAGTGCTCTCTTGCCCCTGCAACGATTACATCTGAAGACATAGCCATCTGTGTGCTGCCGAAGTATTTGCTGGCTCATAACTCGGCCGCAACGACACAACATGATCGTTGGCAGGAGGTTCTTAGCCTGGCAGTACTGAATGAACTCTGGCGTATACGTTTCGATTTGAGGCCCTCTGCGCTTGCGTTTTGTGGCTGTCGACGTCTCGACTTACGGCACACTGCATGCACGTTTTGAGGGTTTCGACATCCTGGGAAGATAAAAGAGAGAATTTAGGCAGTCTCTCATCTCCTACAATTGGTCTACCTGCACATATTAATACAAAATCCTGTCAGTAGCCTATGTTAAGACATTTATTTCACAATTAAGTAAATATAGCCAAGGAATGTCGTCAACTTCAAGTAAATCGTCGGCAACGGGTAGCATGATAAGTGGATTTATTTATATATACCTTTATAAACCTCGATTTGCGCGTGATTAGTTATTATGGACGAGAATAGGTTGCGCGTATTTCAGGAGTCCTAGCGGCTTCTTTACTCGGTGGGATCACATACCCCATCGTCGCACGGACCACTTCTGGAAGTTGCATGGATGCAGCGAACGCAGTCGTAACGCCCACGGACGAAGTGAAACTCGTTAGGAGTTCGCAATTTAAATCACTGGCCTTATTCAGCTTGCTCGGAGGTACGGATGAACGTGGGGTAGAGGAAGTCCCCGAAGTGCTGACGACAAGAGCAGCAGCAGTGGCAGTAAGAAGAGGAGGACGAGGTGGTGGTGGAGCAGCGTTTTCGGCAAGGGTCAAGAGTCGTGATGCATCGGGCACGGGTGAGGTGACGCCGGGGTGGAGGCAGGAGGGTGGAACTAACGCTGAAACATTTGTTGTGGTAGGAGTTGAAGATAGCGCCAGTGCTTCTGGGGATTGGAGGTTGGAAAGCAGTGGGGCGGATGCCGTCGCAGCGAATTCATCGTCTGAGCTTGCAGCCAGACCGACAAACACTCTGGAACACCGTGGTGGGAAATGGAAGAAAGAATAAAGCTGCGCATATATCGTCAAACACAAGCAGCTGTAAAGAGCAACTATCATGCAGACCCAGCCCAAAAAAACCAAATCAGTAGAGAGCCAACTGCCAAAGTCCGCGGTCATTGCTGCCGCTATTATCTGCACTAAACAGACCTTTGTGAATAATGCATCTAGCTTTGTATGCAGACAAAGATGTGCCAATAGAGACGCAAAACTGATTGGTCAAGTTACCGAGGGAAGAAAGAAAATAGTGACTCACTTCCTTAACGCAGAATCGAAGGCCTCAGGGGGACGTTTTTCTGACTGTTTATCAGTGACAAAAGCGTGAAGGGGCTGACCACTGTAACTATTGGAGGATGTGGGATGGACACCAGCAGTTTGCTGCGGTCGCGTCGAGCTACCCGCCCCGTCATCATCGTCATCGGTATCAAGGAGAATGACACAATCATTGAATGGAGAAACATCAGGTTCTATCGGCGTCACGGGTCTCGACGAGAAATTTGACTCCAATATGGAGGGTGACATTGTGGAGGCCCCATTTAACAGTGAGGGAATGGCAGCGATGGTCGGTTTGTCCGAAGGAATGGCGGCAATCGACGCTCTGGCGGGCATGACAACAGAGGAATCACTTTGGACGACTTTCGAGGCTTCTCGCCAGTGCCCATTGGCATCTACGTGGACCATTTCGGCATCCTTGAGACTCTGATCAGCCATCAATTGGACGAAAAAGCTTAATGGGAGAAAATACGCTGGGATACTTAAGAAAGTTGTTAGGTCCATACTAAAGTATTGATACTAGTGCCAGTTTCGCCAGATTTGAGCAAGCAGCTCATTCAAATATGTGCTGTGCTGCTCGGCTTCATGGATAGACCTGACTATCTTTTCCTAAACGTTGAACATCTAACGGTAGGTTGAGAGCTATTGAAATAGTTTCTTGACGGGCAAAGATCTCCACCAGTGACTTCAAGCAAAGGGATAGAATTAAATATAAAAACAGCGACAACTGATGTGCATTCTTTGCGCGCCATGTCAAATAGGTCAACGATCTAACGCGGGTTCGTGAATGTAAGTACATCGGTGGGACGCACAGGCTGCCGACAGCTAAGCCAGACTAACAAATTGTTGAATTAACTGAAGATTTAAGAAATTCATGTTTACCTATTACTAGGGATTTGCTAGAGCGCAATCATTTCTTTGAACCTATATCAGCCTTGTTGCGTATAGTGGATTAAAGTCACATGAAAGTATAGTGCTTTGTCTATAACAGAACAGTGCCTTCACTAGAACACGAAAAGACATTACGTGTGAGTTGGTACATTCTGTTCGATATAATCGAAACAATAGGTGAAGATAATTCAATGAGCATTTATATTCTGATCAAAAGACTGAACACGAGCGATATCACTTTGCCTATGAGCGTAAAAATTGCATACAGCAGCCGACGGGGCTTCTGTCGTGACTCAAATAGTAGGAATTCTGGAACAAACGCTCGGCAAACATAGATGAGGAAGAAGGCGGTTTGAGCACCAGATCAATTGATTTATTGTTCTGAGCTATCGAACACTTACAAGTGTCCATCTTCAGAGCTGACAGGGATAAAAACGTCCGTTCTCACCTAGCCTGTGGCAGGGGTACGGCTGGCTATGGGCGACAAAGCAGCTAAAACAGGTCATACCAGCTCCCTGCTTTCTCAGTAACGCTTGCAGATAGTTCAGGAAAAAGTTAAAAAACAAAGAAGGCAGAATTGAGAAAACGGGCGCACTTACTCATCACGTCGGAGATCGCGGAATGGGGCGGGTAAACTGCACACAGGACAGGACCACCGAGGACGCTTCTTGTTAATTGTCAGATAGGAGGACAAGTCAAAGCACTGCAAGTGGTCACAGTTCACTGAGCGCACAGGGATCTGCAGAAGAGATGGGGTTCATACATCGGACCACAAAATCCGTCACACCGCCAACTGGCGAAGAAAATTAACAGATGCTGCAGGCAAACAACCTGACGGTTATTGCATTTTCCATACACAATTACCTAGACGCTCTAGCCCCTCTCTCAATCAATATGTTATGCACTTAATCACATTATGGACGAAACCGAGAGAGATGATGTTCCTCGCCCGAAATTTATACGTCTCTTTTACATTGTGGCCAACATACTAATCAACATTCCTAATCGGCATTAACTGTAGGTGTAACCGCCGAGGAGGCTTCTTGTTGATTGTCAGATAGGAGGACAAGTCAAAACACTGGAGGTGGTTATGGTACACTGAGCGCACAAGAATCTGCAGAGGAGACGGACTGCATGCATAGAACAAAAAAGCTAGTAGACTGCCAAATGGTGAAAAAAATGAATATACTATTTTATAAGAAAAACACATGGCACTTGTTGCATTCGAAGTCGTCTTAATAACCTGACACGTAATCACATCGTTGATATAGCCAAGAAAGATGGGCTTTTACGCTCAGATGAGTTAAGACTTTTGTCGGGGAAAAGTAATGCGCAGAATAACATAAAAGCAAATTTTGTTCGTGAGAACTATAAACTGCAGGCGGTTTTCCGAATACTGCTTTTCAAAAATTATATTATGAATAAGCAGTAGTGAACTAAAAGTATAGCATTCATCAGATGGTTATCAGCTTCTGACGGAAGGAGTTTCTGGTCAACTGTTCCTAATGAGGTCTGCCATGGTCGTATCACAAACGTTGATATTAAAGGTGTCACAGCATCGCTGAAAATGCCCGGACTCACTTCAATACGCGTGAGAGCGAGGGGACAGAGTAAGGAGACAGGAATCTATCCATCGGACTGCAAATCATCCTCAGAAATAAGTTTGGTCTTCACCATTGCCTAGGGAAAGAGGGGAAAATACTAGTAACCTGCGACAAAAGTGGAGGATCAACTCTTAGTGTTGTGAAAATTCAGAATTTCAAAATAAAGTGTAGGGAAATTTCCGATAAGTTTACGCTTGGCTGAAAAACGGTTGATTTTCTAGACATCATTAAGCATAAATACCACTGCGGCATTAAACTACCAGGTGGAAAGATGTGGCAGAATCGCATCAATATGATTCAATTTTTAATTAAGAAAAGTCTAGGGTGCTAAGATGTCAGGAGATTTATTTCTGGAACTGATACAACTGAATCTTATATGGCAGTACTAGCTGGAAGTCCACGTACAGGCCATCGCAGTCGTCACCAAGTCTGCGGTAATGGTCGCTGATTGGCTATACTATCTTATCCCTGTAACTGGTTCTGGTTGAGCCGTCATTTTCAATGATAGATACGCGTACGAATTCTGAAGTTCAGAAAAGAGCATCCAGCTTAAGGACTTCTTACATTCATGGCACCTTCCACTGGTATTTTGTCAGTAGTTGTTAAATGTACGCAAGTTGAAGTCGAGTGGCAAAGGACTCACCAACGTTTCGGAGGCCGCGATCACGCCATCAGGAGACCTACAAAAATCATAAATTCCAACAGGAGATTCTGGGGTCTCAGACGATAAGTGAGGAGGATTGAAACCAGGAGGAGGGTCTGTGACTGGTGTCCCAGCAACAGCGTATGAAAACATGCGGACAAATTCCGGTATGGGCTGAACACGGTCCAGAGTGACTTGAACAAGGGGGAGGTTGAGCAATTGATTCAGGATGGGAGTACAGGATCCGGAACTAACCATTTCAAGCAGCGGTAGCGCGTGGTCCTCCAGGGGCGCATGCAACCAAGTTAAGTCAATGTCAATATCCTGACAGCGGACAGGGGAGTTCGGCCGAAGGGAAAGCTGCGAGGATGAGAAAGATAAGTACGCAATATACAATATGCGCTAAAAACCAGGTGCGCTAAAAACCGGGTTTGACTTGGTACTTTGGCATATATTTGGTCCCAGTATTTTGATTCATTCAGTTTTCAGTTTAGTTTATTTGGTGAGGATAATAGGCAATGCCTTTAAAAACCCTATTGATTACATGCCGGTTCGTTTCACGTGTACATGCACCTATAAAAATTACCACTACTAACATAGTATTGGCAAACCGTGAGTAGCATTGTTTTTTACAATATAAGTCTGGTGGTTAGAGTTCAGACTT